GCTCGTGTTGCAAAGCCTTAGTGGCTGTGCGGAGAAAGCCTGTGTGGCCTACCGTTGGAAGAGGTTGCGCCGTGCACCCGCGCCGAGGACATAAATTCCCTGCTTGCTCCCCGTGTTCGACCGACACCAACCACCTCCGAGCGCCGTTCGTACAAGACATCTATCTAATTCTTTACATTTGTTAGTTCTGTTCCTTATAATAAATCTTTTTTTGAACTAAGCACAGTCAAAAGGTTTACTCCCACGTCGTCGTCGCAGACGAGTCCGTCTTACACCACAACACAAAATTAGGGCTTTGTTGCACTTTGGAGGAGGTAAGCTGGGTAGTGGTTACGAAAGGCATGCTCTACTGCGCACCTGTGTTGGTTGCATTGTTTTGTTGCCGGAGCGACCGTAACCTTCTGAGCATGTCAAGGATGCCTTGTAGCAAGAGGGGTTCTACACGCGTAAAACAATCTAATGCCACTGAATCCGACTCTTTGCACAAAACGCGAACGAAGCCAGTAGGACGTGAGTAGGGACGAAATCTGTTGAAACAATCTCATAAGCACTACACCAGTTTTCTTGATTCCGACTTGTTTTCAGGACATCAGGGCAGGGAATGCCGACTAATGGGTCGAGGACTGACCGCCACCAAAGGTTATAAATGCGTGCTCGATGTGTGCTACTATTGATACACTTGAAGAACACTTGCTGAACAGTTAGAAAAACTACATTGCTGTAGTAATCGGGTTTCATGACTTCAGCAATAGTAAATGAATTTGGTAGGCCTCAGCAGAGGTGAATGTGGTGAGCTCGTGACCGCAGCGTTTATCTCGTTGCGGTAGTGGAGGAGTACCTGACTGAGTTGTCCCATATGGAACAATGGGAACAATTCCGTCGATCTGAGAACAGCAGAACAGGCAGTTGCACATTTGGAGCAGTGATCACAACTTTTTGTCACACCTCTTCTACAAGGTCCTTTTGTCCTCTTCTACAACCCAACATAACTTGTTCTTTAAGGCTTACATTTTGTTGGCTGATGATTTGTAGTTCCATAGGGCACGGACAGAATTTCGCATCAGCTCCTTTTTCTCCGGGTGGCCCTAGAAAATAAAACATACCAGTTATTTTGCATATGGAAAAGCCTTTAACGCCACACTTAGGTTTGGGTATAATTTCATTCTTCTACCTGAAAACTTTTTGGGAGTTGGAGATTCCCACTGAGGTGCCTATCACCACATGTAAATGGTAATTCAATTCAGTATCCTAGTGAGATATAAACAAAGCCGAAACTGTTTTCTGATTGACTTACCCTTCGGTCCTCTATCTCCAACGTTCCCGTTTATGCCGTCCAGTCCATTTGGACCCGGTTGTCCTGTCGGGCCAGGTGGCCCGTAGATGTAATTTCGCTGCAAAATTATCATTCTACTTGGAAGCAGCACAAAATAGTTTTTATATAACCCACCTTTCCTCGAGGACCTTGGGCTCCAGCCCTCCCAACAGGACCATCCGCTCCTTTTGGTCCAGGTTTGCCAATTCCTCCCTCCGCCGGTCGTCCGCTTGGACCCTGAGCTCCCGGCCTTCCAGGGAAACCAGGTGGTCCAACATCACCTTCTGGGCCAATGTCGCCTGAAGAGAATAATGAATAAATAAAGTTTCATGCAACAATCTCCCCTGTTGTTTTGTCATCTTCCTGTAGAATTCGTACAATTATAACGGCCGTAAGAATGCTGAGTTATGGATGAAAGGCTCGGTTTCGTGCGGGACTGCATGCCTCACAGCCACTGCTCCGATGACACTACTGATCATGAGACTACAGACGCCTTTTACCCAGCTTTTAGTAAAATGTTCCTCACTGAACCCTCGCACGGCAGGAGCTTCAGCCTCTTGTTTGTGGCCGCCTATATTCCGGCTTTCAGCACGTGCTCTTCCACAGCACTTGCGCTAAACCACCCTTCATGCAGCACCTGTTTCAAGTGAGCTCGCGAGTTAATTGAGCGAGGGTCTTCATAGAAGGATGTTTTGACAACCACAAGGCCTCATTTATTGGCAACACGGCGCCCACTGGTTTTATTGGCTGTTATTTTCTGCTGTCACTCTCCTAACCACACCTACGGGGCATTTTCAGGTGATAGAGCGACATTCTGACAAGTCACGAGCCAGCGATTCATTTGAAGGCACATCCCACAATGAGTTTTGGTGCCCTAATCCCTTTGACCGGTGGAATAGAGCTGCCTAATGAAGCTGAAATGATCCTTTTCCCGGCTTGAAAGTGCACGACAGGGGCACTGTTACTTTCCCAGACCAATTCGACTGCTTCAGTTTTTCCTCATTAGCAACATGCAGGTGTCCTTCCATCCGTGCTCTCTTAGCTATTCTCTCTTCTCCGAGCTCACTGTCCCAAGACCTCAGCACAAGAAACGAACTGCAATCTTAGCGCTTTTGAAGTACTCTTTTCCTTTATCTTTACCACCAGTCCACTTTACACCCCTGCTTCCATTTTCGTGCGCAATAATCACAACATTCTGACCATTTTTACAGTTATGTTCTCTGACCAGGTTCAAAGATAATTCAGAAAGACCGTCTCAATCAAATTTTAGTGCTGTTAGAAGGTCGTACAAGTTCTAGCTAAGTTCTGGACTTGCGGTTTCAGTACTGCAGAGATAAATACACTGATTTCAAAATCCTTGGCCCCAAAGGTTGCATTGCAGGTCGAACGCGCTATACTGGGATGATGCGTTCCGAACTGGGAAGTCGGAAAGCGTGCGTATCTTCAAGTGGACTCAATGCTCACCGCAACAACGCAGTCCATTTGTCTATGCGACATGAGAATTTGGTCATTCTGACTTGAATCACTTGAGCTAATAATAACTAAGAAACATAAAACGAACCGTCAATGCCATCAGTTGCGGGAGTGCCTGACTGGCCCTTCGATCCCTTCTCCCCAGGCTCGCCACGATCGCCTGGTGGTCCCATGGGTCCCATCTCACCGGCAGGACAAATAATACACTTTTCTTCCTGCTCGGCGGGGATATCTCTAGCCTCCTTCCCCCGTATCCCTGGTGCTCCGTCGTTGCCCTGTTGTTCCATCCTAACACCAGGCTTTCCCTGTAATTAAGGTTGCCGACAAAACACTCCGTGAAAAAAGATTAAAAACTTCGTGTTACTCAAGCAGGTTAAATTATCGTTCTCAAGAGCATAGTTGGCCATGATGACCGAAAAGCACTGTCGTACCAGGAGCACCACGTTTTGCCGGCGCGCACACCACTGCTCGTTTTTCGCGGCTAGCTGATTCCATGAGGATGGATATGTCCTTTTCGAGAACCTGAAAATAGCACTAGACTTGTAGTCCCAAGCGGTAGTCTTGACGTCGAGTATGAAAATGGGTTTTATGGCTGGATTTTATTCACTAGTTTTAACCTTCTCCGTCGCCAACTGCTTCTGATAGTTATTTTTATTTCTGTTATCATTTTGTGCCCTCTTCTTTTTTTTTTACTCGTTTTTCGTTCTTCTGGGGCCGAGTTTAGGTATTCACACCTCATGCAGTTTCATGATCGTCAGCGAGAGGGTGCGGGTCGTATTATGGACGAAGATAGTAGATTGATGACATCCAATGCTGGGATCCAACCGTCCTTTGGCAATTTTCCAACAAGAGGGGTTGTAGTTGACATTTTGAGGGGCATTTGGGATAGGGTTTTGAAGATGGATTTGAAGTTTTTTTGTTGATAGTTACGATAGAAGTCTTAAAATGGTGAGTGGGGTGGATAAAATCAGATTATTTGCGCTTTATTAGACAAATACGCACTTCTGGCCTCTCCCTCCCCCACCCCTCTGCTCCACGGTAGTTTGGAAACGGTGAGGGCGCTGGAAGGAGGTGACATGTAGGCGTGGTTCATGAAACTTTCGAAAGTTCCTTAACGTCGCGGTTAAACCGGCTAGGACTTGCCACAGTTTGTACATTTTAGATTCCTCGATTCCTATATCTAATGTTTTAATAAGCTGCTGTTTCAATGAAGCTTAGCTACACCCAAAAAAACCAAAGTGATTACATCCATTGGCCTCTCTAAGTGACCTCTGGTGCGTTCTAGCCGGTTCAGAAGTGTTCAGAAGCTTGAAGAAGCGGTGTGCGCCTTTTTGGCTTGCTCAGAATCATGGTCAAATCCAGGACCCTGGAGCTAGTCTTTGCAATTCACGCCCTTACTTGAGGTCGTAAGCGGTGCATGGGTATCGATAGATTCCATGCTTCCTCGTCTTCGACATCTGTCAAGCTCTTGGTGACTGGCCGTGGTGTCGAGATTGCGCCGCCGCTGGCCCATGCTAT